TCCCCGAACTTTTGGGTTTGTAAATCTTATAATTACTAGCCAGTATGGAAGTTATATTTTCAATGTTAAAGTGATGATTTCTTGTATCCATGTTAGGGATTTGGAGAATTCATGGTTTGGTATTTGGAGATTCTTGTTTCTGGGAGAATGGTCTAGTTGCAAGCTTTTAGAGGCAGTACTAAAGACACAAGTAGATGAGGGTGAACTAAGTACACATGATAAAGTCTACTTTAAAGTTATCATAGGGGCAGCTGACTATGTAGGAGAACACCAGCGCTCCATATATCAACTTTCTCAGAATAATTGCCCAACAGAACTTCTGGTGCAACATAAGCAAGGCTCCCAGCCAATCCAGACAATCTCTGACCTAGAAAATATGAATTCATTGTTTCATAAATAAGAAAGAAATCATAGAAATCCAGCTATTAACTAAAATAAGAAAAGACAAGTGGGCCAACAAGAGGAGATTCACCATAATCCCTTAGAAACATCTGATTCACAACAGAACTACAAAACATCTGATGGGTACGATGAAGTTCAAACAAGGACTATTCTATTGCCCGCACAAGACAATGACAATAGATCCCACTCCACAAAGCAAATAAAAGAAAAGAACAATGAAGATCATCAGGGCACCTCCATTGCTAAACCCTTTTTGAGTATGACAGCACACATAGTGCCCCGGACCTGCCAGATATGGTATGGCAACCAACTTTGTCCAAGACTCTCTCCTGCCATACTCGTTCATTATCCACACTTCAACATGAACTCCTAGGTAGTGAGACAGCACACAGGTGCAACCATTCAAAACACCCAGAGACCAGCCAGAAGCACCCTCATCGCCCCACTCTCACATGAACCCCCCTGCTAGCTATGCAAAAGATTTTTACTCCCTTCTAATTATCAATTGATTCATCATCACCAAACCCATATATTGTTACAGAATAATCCAGCAATCTAACACCCGAACAAGGTAATTTATTGGATTTCCTCGTAGAGGGGTTCCACAAAAACACAGCATCCTCACCAATAGCAATACAAAACAACCCATTACAGGAACCCAATATCCAAACAGATTCATGAAGGTCTTTCAATGGATAATCAACACCAACAGCATTGGAAGATTGTTCATTTAGCAAAGGTAAAAGAGAACATGACTTGAGATTAAAATGGGGATGAATACAGCCGAAGATGAGTTTCTGATGCGAAAATCAGTTTTTTTTTATGCTAGATTGAGATGGGATTTGACGAATTGGGAGGTCGAAATCAAAGAGAACCATAATTTGCAAACTGACCTGAACTGCATGAGCGACGTGACGGGAAGTCTCAGAAGGATCTCGTGAATGATTTTAGGAGGGAGGTCTGGCAACGGCTTTGAATCTTGGGCTGATTCAGGATTTTATTGGGTCTTCTTCGTTCTTCTAAATTCGCAGTAACTTGAATCGCTTTCGATCACCATGGATGGTCCTTCGACAGGTTCAGTTATCTGGGATTTGGAGTGAAGAAATGCAGAGGCGATGAAGCCGCTGGGTGCTACCCGTCGTCGTAAAGACATGCCGCTGGGCGCTGGACCTTCTTCTTTTTTTTTTTTAATAATTAAGGGCTTTTGGGTAAATTTCTAATTTTATCCTACTTTCTAAAAATTTTATCCTATTTGTTATCTGATAAACCAAACATGTGATAAAATTTATACCCCTGGTAAAATTTATCCAGTTATATCCTTATCCCCTATATCCTATCTCCCAATCCGAACGGCCCCATATATGTAGAAGAAATCCCTAGCACAATAAGCAAGGCTATGTTTGGGTTTAGATTTTGTGAAAGTCAATACTACCGCTTAGTACGATGGTAGGGAAAAGGAGGAGGTAGTTTCCCCCTCTCTTTCAGAAAATGAAGAGAAAATCAAAAAATTTCTTAGAATTTTTCCTTTTTAAAATTTTTTAGATTTAATTAATTGAAAAATAAAATAAATAAATATATTAGAACAAATGATCAGTCAACATGTCAGATTTTAATTCAAATTTAATTAAAATATTTAATAGATTAAATTTAATTACAAATTTTCATAGTGTGAAATAAATCATATACAAAATTAAGTCATTCAATTCATTAAAAAATTTGAATTAAAATTTTTCTTAAATTAATAATAATATTATACATATATGTAGATATATAAAATATCAAAAAATTAAAATTATTAAAAAAATTTAAAAACTAAATAATTAATGGAATATAACTGGAAGATTTAAGTATAAAAAATATATTATTTTATTATCAAATTTTAGATTATTTATTAAATTTGAACATAAATTATCATATTCAAATTTTATTTTTTAATTAAATTTTAAATTATTCATTAAATTTTAAATAATCTATCAATAATATAAACTAATAAATACAGATTTTATAATATTTTAAATTATTTTTAAATATTTAATAAATAATTCAATCCAATCCAACTTTACCTGATTTGATATAAATGTGACTGCTGGACAGCCCAAGAAGCAAGTATTTCTATTTTCTTTTATTCCCTGTAAAAGTCAACAGGCAAAGAATAGGAAAAGCCTACTACACTGCAGACCACCAGGGGAGGAAATTTCGTGGAGAAGGGATGGAAAAAGCCCAATAATTCAAGCGCCTCGTCAGCAATGACGCGGAAATGGAAGGAGCTTTATGAGAGGAGAGGCCAACTTGCCAAAGCCCAAAAGTAATAAGAGGCTACTTGGATGGTTAGTATTTTTGGATTTTTTATTTTTTTTGTAAAACATAAAAAAGTTAATTTATTTAACAATTTGATTGGTGTTAAAAAGGTGGAATTTTTTTTTTTTTTTGGTCGCTATTAATTTAACCGCCAGTGTAGAATGGTAAGTGAGTTTGCTGAATTTGGAGGGTAATGTAGAAATTTCAAGAAGATTATAACAACGATTTTGTTCTTAAGAAATTGCTCCGAAACGTCTTAAAAGCTCCAAACCAAGTGCCAAGTGAAACCAAATCTATAATAGAGAGAGTCTAATCAGTAAATTAAAAGGTAATTAGCGATTAAGTTTCGCATAAAAGAGTAACAGGTGGAAGAGGTCACATGAGAATCAAAGCAAGGAATACCGTATAAAACATGCCTTCTAAAGCGGCAGGGTACAGGGTCAGAACTGGTCTATTCAGATGATAGTAAATTTATTACTTTAGCATCTGCTTTGTTATTTTTCTCCCTTCTTTAATTCCTAATGCCAGTTGCAAAACAGTTAGATTTCCCTGTCTCTATTTTGATTATCTTTACCAAGATGACACAGATCTCCCCCTCTCCTCTCTCTTCTTCTTCTTCTTCTTCTTCATCATTTGATTTTTCAATTAAACAAAAGTAAATTAAATTAATAGGGAAGAGATAGGATAAGTTTAAATTAAATTTTTAATCCCATGCGATTAGCTAAGAAGGATTAAATTATTGGTGCATGTTATATTGTGTTAAGATAGAAGGCATTGAGTCTACTAAGTATTTTAACTTTGGAATAAAATCAGAAAATCTTCCTGTGTCCTAGGACTTCAGAACTGATTGGCCTCCCACGTATGAAGGACTAAAAGGCTAGAATAGGGAAAAGAAAGGGTAAGAATAGTGTGTGTTTCTGCTTGCAAACTGAGTAATTTTATCAAGCCCAAAATCATTTCTGTATAATGTATGGTAGCTGGGTTTGCCTATCAATGCAGCTGAAGGCAGTTCGGTAGACATGGCAATGGCAAGGGTGGAATTCAAGTATTAACATAGCATAAATATGATAAAAATCTGTTACAAGAAATAAAATATGAGCCCACACGAATATGATACGAATTTATTACAAGAAATGTAAATATGAAATCACAGACATAATAAAACACATAACTAACCAACCACCACAAATGAAAAGATTACTTGTGAACTGTGACAGAAGAATGCATTGTTAAGAAATATCAACAAATCCATCAACCTAATAGATGCACCATGAAAGATTATCTGTTGTGTAAATCATCATATAGGAAGTCAACTTTTTAAGGCAAATTGTGATATAAGATATAGGAAGTCACCGCAATCAATAAGCACAGGACGCAAGATTAAGCCCACGGCCATCATTCCTATTAAATAAGATACCCCTAAATAGTTTAGCAAATTCACAGAAAAGACGAAGGGTTAGGTAATGACATAGTTTTGGTCAATGGCATCAAACTACCTGGGTAACAAAATAGGACTTTGAAAAACAATAGAAGAGAACTTAAACCAATTGGTCAATGGAAATGCGTGCCACAAAGAGCGAGAACTTAAGAAGCATGACAATTACAAGAGAGGCCAAGAAAATATTTGCTAAATAGTTATGATATGAAAGACAATGGCATAGATGACATGGATGTCCAATTCATGCATATGAAAAACAAGACAGTGACATACAAAAATAACCCGCAATGCTTCCGGAAGGATTCACTTTTTCTCCACCTAGCTGACATAAAACAATGGGTGAACATGACCCATGCAGGTGAAGGCAAAATGTCAGAATAAAACTTGACGGGCCATTCAGCTTGCTAAAATTCTTTACCAGTCTCCATAAAAGTGTCTTCAATCAGGACATCAAACAAAAAGAAGACTGCACAAACCTCTGTGTGATACACTTCTTAAGAAGCTAAGATTTTGCAAGACATTCCCATGAACCAGGAACTAAAAAATCCAAAAACCAACATCTTAGTTAAAATTTCTATATTGTGTATTACATTAACTCAAAAATAATCAGTATATAGACACAATATATGAGTATGAACATGAACACTATGATCTCAGATAACCTCTGTTTGTCTTTCACATTAACAACAATAACATGACATAGAAGTAAAGCACGGCAAGAAAGCCCAAGTTCTTATTAGCCACCACAAATACACACCATTAGCCAATACCCAATAGAATTGAAACACTATGCAATTGAAAATACAAAGACAAACCAAACCCGTTGCAGCAAAATTGTCTCTTTCTGCACAAACTCCAGTCATCAAGGTTGCGAAGTTCGAATCTGCTGCTTTAAACTGTCTGTAGAACCTTCAGGTAAAACTGCAGCAGGGGCTGAAGTCATGGTCTGATATTGAGCAGCCAATTGGGGCGGCAAAGGCTGAGTGTAATACACTTGGCTATGTGCAGGATCAGCATATGCATAATTAGTTGTAGCAACTGAACTAGGGGCGACAGATTGAGGGTGATGAACCTGAGAGTAACCCACATATTGTTGTTGACTTGGAGGCACTTGAACTAAAGTTGGGGCAGCTGTAGCTGCCGTTCTATACATTCCTGCAACCATTTCAGGTTTAGAAACAGCAACATTTCTCAGCGGAGGTGTTTGGGGTTGGCTGGAAGGCGCACAGGTGGTGGGTTCGGCATAGTTTTGTTGCTGAACAGGCAAATTATAAGCTTGAGCCTGTCTAGCAGAAACATAGTAAACGGGGTACTGCTGATCTAATTGATGGTGGGGATGGAGAGGCTGTTGCTGAGGAGGGTACATTGGGAAATAGGATTGGATCGGCACTGCCCCCGTAGGATGGTGATGAATGTAGTGAGCACCCGCCTGAATAAACTGCTGCTGTTGCTGTTGGGGATTCAATTGTTGATCAAATTGGGGTTGCAGTAGATAACTAGAATCCTGAACTTGTTGCATCTGAACTCTAGAGCTCGGATCAGACAATTTCGGTTCAACGGGGTTAATTGCAACCCTGTTATTGCTGGAGGGGTTTTGACCAACTGGGTCTTGATAAATCATGGGTCTTTGCCGAGACAATGGGTTTGTTGTACTGCTATCACTGTGAATATAAATTCGAAAAACATACCCAACTCAGGAGATAATCATATACTTCTATAGCAAAACTGTGTATAGGCAAGGCATGAAAAGAGGAGCATTTCTAGAGTTTATTAGATACCTTGAGACTGAATCAGGGAAGCCAAATCAACACCACCGGTGGTTTTTGGCTGCGATTGCGGAGGCGCCAGCTGTGTCTGTGGCTGTACTTGCGGTGGTTTTCGATAACCAAGTGGTACTCCATGCTCTGATCTATCATCATCGGAGATAACCCGATTCCCGTACTCAGTCGGGAGCCCTGCAGAAGTCAGTCCCACTCCAGGCACTGCCACCGCCACCGCCGCCGCTGGCGGTGCTGCGACGGACGTCAGCACTGGCGGCGAAGAGAGCACCAGAAAACCACCATCATCTTGCTTCGGGACGGCGCCGCCGCCGCCAACGCTCATCTGAGAGAACTGTTCCTCAATTCCGCCCGCCGGCGGCGGCGGCGGCGGCTTTTGATCCTCCATCCGAACCCGAATTGGCGGCAGGTTCGCGAGCGAAGGCGACGATGAGGTCGACCCGAAGGACGACGTCGTGTCCACCATAGGCGAATCGGGCACCGAATGAACATCCTGTGCACCCTGCTTGATGCTGTTATTACCCAGCCCCTTGACGTTCCCAAACGATTCAAGCTGCGCCTGCACGTCCTTCACCGACGAATTAGCGTTCCCAACCATCGCGGCTTCATCGTCAAGACCAAGTAAGCAATTCACAGAGGCCGATTCGGAGAACCCTTGTGTAGCCCCGTTGAGGGCGTTCAGAAACCAGTCCTCGACTTGGCAGAGTTCTCAAGGAGCGACCCAATCGAGGACGCTGAATCGGGTTTCGAAGGGAACAGATAGAGTCGGATTCGGGAGGATTTCTGGGCGTTGGTGGCAGCAGCAGTGGTGAGGCGGTCGTACTCTTCGATCATGTTCTCGAGGTCCTCGTCGGTGGTAACGGAGATCAGGGAATCCAGGTCTTCGTTGGGGAGCTGGTACTTAAGCGTGAAGGATCGGCCGTTCAGGAGGGTTTTGGAGAGGCGGTGGCTGAGGTCAGCGAGGGTGGAGTGTCGGTCAGCGACGACGATGCGCGTATCGCCGCCAGCATAGCACAGTGACTTATCATGCTGGCGAAGCATGATGTGCCCGCCATAACTGCACATGAGCCGCAACTTGCCGCCGCCGCCGGTGGCTGCCGGCATCATTGGCTCCTCCCAGGAATCGTTGTTCCGGGAGCGCGGTGACGAATCGACAGAGTCCGGGTAGTTGAGATGCGTAGCCGCCGGATTCACCGCCGTTATGGCGGCGGCCGTGGCCGCCGCCGTGAGGGGCGTCGCAGCCGCAGGTGGTGGCGGTGGCTCCATGCGCGAAGGCTTTGGCTTCTTTCGCGAGGAGAGAGAGAGGAAAAAGGAGGTAGACGCGGCAGAAGCCGGATGCTCTTATAGGTGTTTTTGTCTTCTTGAAATTATTTATGAGGATCTATTTTAGATTTTCCAGATTTTCCATTTCTGAGATATTTTCCGAAAATATTTCTTCCACTTTAAGATCAAATACTTCCCTGGAAAGAGTAAAAAATACAAATATATTCATATTTTGGTTGTATAAGTAAAGTAAATTTACTTTTACCGTAGTTTTTTCTTTTTTCTTTTCCAAATGGGAACCATAGGTAGTATTTTACCGATTTTAGTCCAACTATACCCGTACAAGTACGTTTACACACATATAGTTCGAGAGAACCTACAAATTATAAAAAGAAGGAATATTTTCACTCAAGATTGTTTCCGGCTGCATTTTGATCAAATTAAATACATTTAAATTTAATTAATTATTTTTATATTTAAATTCGATCTAAAATTTTAAAAATTGTATTTATTAAATTATATCTAAATTTTATAAATAATTTAAAATTTGATAATAAAATCGATTCGATAAAAAAATATTTTTTATACTTAAATATATTAACTTTATTTCATTAATTATATTAATACTTAAATTTTATAAATTTCTTAATTTTATTTATATAACTTTAAATTTATTAATATTATATATATATAAATTTATTGATGTAATTAAAAAATATTGTTAAGATTTAAATTCAAATTTTTAACTAATCAAATTTTTTAATTTTATATTTTATTCACTTATTTTAAATTATAAATATTTATAATCGGATCTGATCTATTAACAAATCAAATTCAGATAAAAATTTAACTCACTGACAGTTTTACTTTCACCATCTAAAAAATAAGTTATAACACATTCACATAAAAGAATCAGATTTGAATTATTGAAAAATGCACATTTGAAAAGAGATAATCACAATAACACAAATAAAATTAGTTTCGAATCATAAAATGAACGAGAACACATGTAAAGATTAAAAAATACAAAAAAATAAATATTAATAAACTGAGATGATACCAAATAAAAAATAGAAATAATCTTTAATTGATACAATCGGAGTTATTTTTAGTTAAGATAAAAGTTATTTTTACTGGATTAACATATTATAAATAATAGTTCATTTCATAAATTAGACATCTAGAAGTCGTTAAATATTATTATGATATCTTTTTGCTTGTCATGCGTGGCATTTTTACTTGGTTTTTCGAGATTAGTGCCCTGATCAGTACTAAGCTTTTGAAATTTATTTTATTAACTTGTATTATTATTTATTTATTTCTCAGTAACTTCATCATTCACGCTATTTAAATGTAAAAATAAAATATATGAGTGGCAATTCTATTTAAATAAATTTTTAAGGGGAGAAAATATAAAAAAAGAAAAATATTGGCGCCATTGTCAATTTCTATAATTGACATTTAAAAATAAAAGGGCAAATTGTGTAAAATACAGCAATGCTATATCTAGGATATAGTTTAATTTCCTTTAGTAGAATAAGCTCCGATCCAACATGGAAGAAATAACAAAAATTTGGATTTACTTAATTATTCATTTTTAGATTATTATTGCTATATTTTTCCAGCAGTAAAAAATTATTTTCGTTATAATATACCAATAATATTTGCCTTCGGAAAACATATATAAATTATAATTAATTTGTACTCTTGCCGGTTTGTTACCGCATGTTGTCTTGCTTACAAGTAAATTAACAGTCCTAAAATTGTAAAAATTATATTTCAGTATGAAATTATTTCCAAATTATGATAACTTCATATTTAATAAATAAGTAAGTCATACTTTTTGTTTGATAATTTACAATATATTTTATAGCATATTTGTTTTATTTAATGTGTTCCTATACAATAACAGTGGAAGGATAGGATCATAAAATTTATAGTCACTATAATTCAAAAAATTGAATCAAATTAAAATAAATTTAAAATTAAATAAAAGAACAAATCTCACCAGTAGGGTGTTCATCGAACCGAACTAAACTCATTAAATCAAGTAAATCAAACAAAATCATAATTTAATTTGATTTCATATATATTATGATTTGGTTTAGTTCAATTTAAATCAGACTTTTTTTTTCTCACAATTTAATTTACAATTTTACCGTCAAATTAAATTGTATAAATTGAATTGAACTGTAAACTTGTTTAAGTTTACAATTTAATCCTTCAACTTTTTTCTCTTTTTGTTTTGATCTCCCCACTTTCTTTTTTACGTCGTTTCAATTCTAGTCTCATTTCCTTTTCTTTTTAATTTTTCCCTTTTTTGATGATTCTCAAACTTTGATTCTTTTAAATACCTCATTAATTTGGATTACTAAATACCATATTAGTATTTAATTTATTAAATTTTCTTAGCAGTCAGTTTTTTTAATTATCAAATTTAATTAATTTTATTACAAATCTATAATTATATAGGAATGGAGAGTTTAATAGATTTAATTTAGAAATCGTAGTTTCAAATCGAATCAAATCATAAATTATTATTTAGTTTGATTTATTTGATTCTTGAAAATTCATAATTTAATTTAATTTAATTTTTAAAAAATTATAAATTATAAAATATATTTTAATTTAGAATTATTTCTCAAACCCAACCACCAACACGTCTACTCACCAATTAGTTAACAATGGGAATAGAATCTTATATGGTTAATATAATATATATATATATATATATATATATTGGGCAGGGGTTTTGATTTTCAGTAGATATTCACGTTAACGTGGGTGATAAAGTCCCCAGTCAGAATATTTCATACAAGTGTGATAGAACCTCGTTATCTGCCACACTTTAAGAATAGATCCCCCAACTTTTATTTATTTTAAATTAGTGCACCAGATTGCCCGTTGGGCTCTTTAATGCCGAGTCATACTTAATAAACAAGTGGCAAGCAAAAGTCAAAATTCCATATTGATAACCTCAAGAAAATAAATTATAATTATATTCAAAAATGTTTTTAAATATCCTGTATTAAAATGTAAAATCATAGAACTATGCCCAGGGCCCAGGCATGCTACTACCTGGGGCAAAAGGGTAATAAAATTTCTAATTAGTCCTTTAATTTTCAATTAGGTCAAATTAGACATCAATTGATGGCAAACTTGAAATATTCTCGCACAAATTCAATTGTTTGCAACACACACTTTTCAAATGTTATGATAATGGGGTTTGCTTATTCTATCTTTGATGAATTATTATCCTTTCTCCAAAAAATAGTACTTGTTAAGATGTCTAATATCTCTCTCATGACTTAATATTCTTCTTTCATTTTGTCTGATGTGAAATTTATAACACTTTTCTTTACTTCAACTCTTAAGATACTTGTCAAAGTGAATTTCACACAATCTCTTATAATAGCCCTAAATTTTAATTTAAGTATTGGGAAATTTTTAATTAAGTCGGTTAGGGGCGTAAGTGAACCAATTGAATGTTTTAGGGGTCGAATTGAGAATCAACGAGGGCCTGCCTACGGCAATTAAAAGTTTAGGGGGTGTTTTTGTGGGATCTAAAAAAGATTTGGAGCCAATTTCAGAAATTGAAGGCTAAATTGAGAGAAATGAAAAAAAGAGACACTAATTGGAAAGGGTATATAAGTCTAGGGGCCAATCTAAAAATTTAAAGGGAGTTATTTGGAAGAAACAAAAGTTCTATGGGCCGGATCGTGATAGGAGAAGAGCCTCCAGCCGAAAGCCAATTGAAGGCCTTCGAAGCCAAATTACTCTAATAGGAGCGAGGCAACTCATCCTAAAACCTTGGATGAGTGTGCGAGAGAGAAAGACGAGTCTAATAGCAGGTTTAATTTGAGTTTTGAGTGAGAAAAGGCGAGAAACGGAGCTGGGGAAGGCTGACGGTGCCGACGGGATTTTTTTTAGGAAATCTAGAATTCAAGCTTAAATTGCTCTAATTAAAGGCTTTCGTGAGGATCGCAAGGTCGATTATGTGGCTTTAGGTTGCTAATCGATCGAGGTAAGTCATTTTGCTCGAGTTTTTCTTGGATTTTTGGCTAGCGTTGAGGTTGCAGACAACCAGGTCTAAAACCCGGGTTGTCGGGTGAGGAAGACAGGACCCGAAAGAGGTCCAGGTCTAATCTCGGCTAGGCTAGGCCAGTTTGGGCCCGCCCCGACCTCGTCAAATTGGGGGGGTGGTGTGCGGTCCGGGCCCGGGCCTAACCTAGGCTGAATAGGCCCGAGACTATGCTAAGTTGATTTGGAGAGTCAACTCAACCCCATGTTTTAAAGGAAAATGAGTCAACCCATCCGGGTTGACTCAATAAGGAATTGGATTGTGCTATCCTTGAGGATAGGCCCAGCCAGAATAGGAAGAAATTGGAATAGTAGAGATTGGATAAATTGAAATTTATTAATTAAATAATAAGAGTAAGTTTTCTAGGCAAGTGAACCGGCCAGGGTTGACCAAAGGTTTGACCAGTCGGTTCGAGGTTGTTTAAGTCGGTTCTCTAGGTAATTTGACTGATTCCTAGTCCAGTGGGATAAGGGCTATTAGATCAGGTGATTTTGGAAAATTTTGGATAGCCGGTCAAGGTGAACCGGCTAATTTAGTGTAATACACTTTAGGTGGCTGGTTCACAAGTTTTTAGGCCAGTTCTTGGGAAATTTGAACTGGTTCTTAGTTCAACATGATGAAACCTAACTAACTATGCAGTTTGGTGATTTTTGGGTGGTTGGTTCAAGGTGAATCGGGCTCGGTTCATATGCTGATGCTTAGAATTAAGGTCCTTGGCTTGGTTCAGGGTTGGTTTAGGGCCTTCTTGGCTGGTTTAAACCAATTCCTAGGGTTTTGGGGTCTTTTGAATCCGTTTTTGAGGATTTCATGGCCGATCTAGTTATGTTTGAGGTAGATTTAGGCTGGGTTAGGCCAATTTGAGAGTCTTGTAGGCCAGTTCACTATGGTTTAAGGGTTATGGGGTTGGTTCACTATTGTTTGA